GCAAATATTGGTCTAATTTATAAAGATCTAACACAGTATCAATTAGCTTTAGAATATTTAATAAGAGCACATGAAATGTATCAATGTTTATTACCTGAAGAGCATCCCTATATTGCATCGGTTCTAAGTGGAATCGGTTCAGTATATGAAGATCAAAGAGATTATAAACGTGCATATGATTATTATAAATGTAGTTTTAAAATGGAACATAAAATATTACCTAGGGATCATCCACAATTAAAGAAACTGCAATTGTTTATTAATCAAGTCTATAGAAAGAAAGGTATGAAAACTTCTTTTTTTTTTTGCAGCAAAGGATATAGCATTTAGATTTGTCTATTTTAGTTAAGAAAATGGTACAAAACTTTTTATGTATATTTATGTTTTTACTTACCGTCATATTATTAATCATGCAATTAGTTTTACGATCATTTAAGATTGTGTAAAATCCCTCCAAGTGTACACGATCAAAGACCTAATATTAAATCGCGGGACGAACGTAACGACTTTTATACGAAGAAAATACGCTGAACAGTTATGATCTCTGTATTCTTCTAATATTAATCACCAGTGTTTTTTTTTTTTAGAGACTATTGTCAGAAGAGCAACCAGCATTTTTGACATCTGAAGAGAACTCATTTTATGTTGAAGAATTAATATTGCCGACATTTAAATGAAGAGTTTTGTGAATAAATTTATGTAAGCACAAGGTAGTCAAATCTAACGACCGTGTTGTTTTTCTCTGACTGTTAGCCTATGATCCTAATACAGAAATGTTAGACTCGTGAAAATTACCTGTAGTTGACTGACATTTTAACCTGCAAAACGATAAAAAACCTGTTGAATTCTAGTGATCCGAATCTCATCGACTTGGTAACTTAAAAAATCCGGATTTCAAAAAGTTTAGGTTTGCGGAAGGCTTTTGTAGTACTAAGTGAAACATCTTTTGTGCAAAAATGTATCAGGGAAATCTAACGGAGAATTTTCGAGAAGATCGAGTCCTACGTTGGAGATATTCGAAAATCTGACTACTTTCTTTATCTAATAACTCAATATTAAAAAAATATATCGAACTAGGATTTGTGCGTTGAAAAGATCAATGCTCAGGCAACATTTTTGACCATATGAAGACTGAAAAATGGATCAGTTAGCTTTACATCAGTACAACAAAGCAGCTGGGATTTTTTTTGTGACTCTTTTGACGAGCCATGAGGAAAAATCATTTTGGACTTTTTACTATCTCGATATAGTCTGTCACTTGAGATATGAATGAGTCAAAACGACAGATGATCTTGGGATTGTTCCCTCGTCAAAATCCAAAACAATCTGTTTCTATTTATGTTGCCTCAGCAAATTGGAAAACAAATTTAACTGAGAGCGTTACTATGTCTTCAGAATGTTTTTACTCTTTAATGATGCTGTAAACGTTGTAAAAATATTACAAAAACAACTACTTATTCAAATTCAGTATGTGAAAATTCATGGTTTTCTGAAAGTCCTATACTTCATCAGATTTTGAATTTTTTCTGAAATGCGCTATTTGAGAAAGACCCCATTTAAACGCCTAAACCCCGACTTTCATCGAATCAGTTCCGTACTTACAAAATTAACCAAGATCAACTGTCTCACCCTACGCGCCTGTTGACATTGATAGTAGTTGAATTCTAAAGCGTTGATGAAAAGTAAACGAACGGTTCAATAGTGTGAACAAAGTATCTAAAGACGAATTTACGAATCGTCATTTTTGAGCCTAAAAATGATACAATAATTCGCATTTTGCCATTGTTTTGCGATTTCACAGCAAATTCCTAACGTGGGACACAACGTGAAAACTTTTATCGGTATCTAGTACGCAGAAGTCTTCAACTTATGATATCATACCGTCGGAAGCGATTTTGTCGGAGAAATTCCATCGGATCTGACAGAATTTTAAGGTAGGACTAGCCATGCTAAGAACTTCTTCTTACTTTAATCCATGTGTTACTGTACGAGTTAGCCGTCTATTGTCACATTCAGACTACAAGTCTCATTGGGTCTCAAAAACGGTCAAGAAGGTTTTGGTCTCCACTAGATAGCTATAACAACCAGGTCCCCATTCGAAATATATAACATCGCTATACTGATCACTAAAGTCATATACTTTAGCTGTTCAGCCATACAACTCGACTGCTCGACACATAAGTTTGTGTTATGTGATCCTTTTTGTATAATAGGGTAACACTAAACAATATATTCATGTATGTTTACGTCAACGACCTACTTTTTCATGGAAAAAGAGGCGGAGTGGAATGCCAGTTTATTATGTAAACCAAAAATAATAGCAAAAATGAGGATTACGTAACAAAGTGACATATATCTAGCTCAAAATACAATATTTTTGAGAAAAAAGTACCGCATCAAAACCACTGTCAAAAACGACTTATCGTTTAGTAGCTATTTACTGACATTCCCTAAGTGACTCATTGAAAGGGCACGGGCGCATAAGAAACGGAATCGACCCACTAGGATTTTTCTGATTAAGCATAATGATACATATACCGTTTGATAGAGCACGACGAGACGAGCATTTGTGTGCTGAACTCGGGAGATTTTTTTAGAAATTATGATGCTTTAGGTCGTTTACAAAAACTACTCTTTTTCTCATATTTGCTCTTTGATGTACTTGGAAGATTTGATTAGTTTTTTTGAAGAATGGACACAGAACTAACATGATGGTAATGTATTTTGTTGATTTTTACTCCTGATTTATTATAATATACAAAATATCAGTTAATCTTTCGATTTAAAGACAAGCATCTTCTTTACACTGATAAGCACTATATGTATATTTAATGAAATCAATCTCAATTTGCATCAGCTACAAGACTATATTTTTTAAAGTTTAAAAAAAAATTTGATCACAATGTTAAATCCTAGTTACAATGTGTTCAGAGATTTTATCGGTGTAGTTCGAAAAGAGATGGGTAGCGTTCATAGTTTAATCATTCAAATCAATAGCGGAATGTGTCCTTATACAAAATGATTAATCACAAGAATTGCTCAAGATCGAATCAATAAGTGATATAATCGATTTAACAATAATACAATTACAGTGCAAAGAATTATTAGAAGAACTTTCATTTT